ATATATATATATATATATATATATATATATATATATATAATTATATAATATAATACGAGTGGTTGCTTAATAATTAAGACTCATAATTTTTGCATACTTGAGGGGCGTCAATAGTAACCATAGCCCCACTGGAGCGCGTCCTCACGATGACAAATGGCATCTTGTGTATTAGTACTGAATGAGCTAACTATACTGCAACCGTTGCCCGAGTTGATTGCTAGAGTTAATTATACAGCAACAGGCAATCAGATATTAGTTATGGTAAGGATATAACACAAAATATCAACATGCATACATATGTATTTTATTAGACTTTTTCAAGAGTATAAATACACATATGTGGTGTACACAACCAAGACAATAAAGAGCCGGGGTCTTCCGGTGAGAAACTGGGACTTGTTAGAAGATTATGTGAAACTTCACAGCATCATAACTTTTTTTTGACCCTACCGCACTTCAAATTCTGAGATCTGGCCAAAAATACAATAAAAGCAATTCAGCATAATTGAGTGATATATGGTCAGGTCTGAGTGACTGAGCCTCTGAGGTCCAATATTGGCCAAAATGACTATGAAAAGGCCGTCAAAAATTTCTGAGGACAGACATCAGTAATGTTTTGATCACGGGAGTTCAAATTCGACGAGTTTGAGGCTGTCAGAGTACTGTGAGTCTGACACCTCATCAGGGTCAAAGAGGCCCATTTTGTGAATAGGGCATTGATCTGAAGACTGAAAACTAGTCATCTGAAAAAATGATGGAATTTTGTTGTATAGTTTAGGAATAGTTTCGAAGAAAAAATCTTTACTGACGGGACTATATATGGATGACACTGATGGGACTATATATGGATGTTCGGTACATATGATATTTTTTAGGCTTTCTGTTTTCCAAAACAATAATAATACTTTCACATATACTGGGCCCTCGGGGAGTGCACACTGCACACTGCACAGCCTCACAACTTGTCGCAGACTCACAATCACAGAGTCACAGCCTCACAGGTCACAACCTCACAGGTCAAAACTTAAATACAACTTACAAGTCACAGCGAAACAGCCCCAGGTATTTCCCGGGGTATAGGCGCATGGCCCACTCTCTACAGACTAAATATTTACACTATGTACATAGTAGTTGAACTAAAAAAACGATTATTTATAGTAGCTTTGAATAGAGCCAAGACTTCAAGAAATATTTACATTTCCAGCTATTTTGACCAGCACACACCGGTTTAGCGGGGGTTTTCAGAATCGGAAACCTGGCAGCAGGGACAGAAAATTTCGTGGAAATCAACCTGGCTAATCACAAAAAAAGCTTCTAAGACGGGGGATTTTAATAACAGGATTCGTATCAAGGGTCTTGCGGCGAATCTGATTCTTAGGCTCGAAATCGGCCTTTCGATCTTTGTAGTGTCTGAAATTATAGGTTTTCCATAATATTTTTCTTCTTTTAAATAGTATGTTGAATGAAAAAATCTATGATATGTATGTATGTATATATATATATATATATATATATATATATATAGTATATTATGTATATATATATATATATATATATATATATATATATATATATATATATATATATATATATATATATATATATATATATACTATATATATATATATATATAT